CTTTGAAAGGGATTTTTTCGTTTTCCAGGAAAACATTCTATTAAAAAAAATGGAATAAAATTGATTATTCTTAGTCTACTGCAATTTAGGTTCAATTGGTAGGTTTTTTTGAAGGTAATACGTGTTGTTTTAAGGTAAAAAATAATAGAGACATGCTGATTAATTTTGTTTGACTTTGAAAAGGATTTTTTCATTTTCCAGGAGAACATTCTTTCTAAAAAAATGGAATAAACAATGAAATACCCAATTTTGCTAGTAAAAAATAATGTATAATACTTGTAGGGAAATCTAAATAAATTTTCACGATTAATAGACAGCGTTTTGTATATCTATTGACTGACGCGACGACAAGTTTGAAATGGCGTTTAGCATAATTTATAGAGGGTTAGGGCGCCTTTTGTTATATATATATATAAAAAGCGTTGTTTCGCTATACGTCTGTGGGGTGCTTAACTCTGCTCATTAGCGATGGTGACATTTTGACGAACGAAAAGAACAAAAATAAGAACGAAAAAAAAAATAACTCAAGTCCCAAGAGATATTTCCAGATGACGTGAAACAATTTCTTTTTATATAATAATATTTTTATTTTCAATATTTCCTCATTCATGAAGAAAATACTGTTTTCTTTTTTTTTTTTATTCTCTATTGTATTACATTCTATAAATAAGGTGCAATTAAAAATAAATAATATATATTTTGTCGGATGTGAAAAGAGATTCACGTATGAATTTATTTTTTTTCTAGAAAGACATGTATATTTATACATAACAAAGTTACATTATCACACGTTGTATATTACTGTAACATATGTTGTAAAATAATTTTATGCAACTAAAAATTATTATAATAGAATTTAATAATTATAACTGTTTATGTTGGGTGAAATTACTCTAGGTATGTTATTTGTAACTGTTGGTACAATTAGACGAGCGTAAAGAAAAAAAAAATTAATTTTTAATTCGGCAAATATTTCCCATTTTTTCGAAATAAAAAAAAAATTTACATTTTTATTTACTTATTTGTACCCTAAAATTTTCGCCAATATAAAATAATAGGATTTTTTTATTTATTAAAATAAATTTTCCTTTTTTAAATTCACATTTCAAAAAATAGAAATACATTTTAAAAAAAAATAACGTGAAATTTCTTTTGAAATCAATTTTGATCGACACTTTATACCTATAGGACCTGCGATATTACAAGAGATATGCAAACTACTCTGTTCAATTCACTTTGAATTCATGAAGCTAAATTTCAAGTATAATTATACGCCGAAGAGTTTTAACACCTTTTGAAAATTGCACGCCAAATGATGCCTCGCGTTGAATATATTAGAAATAAAATAAAATGCATTTGACTTTTTTTTAAAATTGATATTACTTTTAGTTTTTTGGGTATAACTACCAACAAGATGATTGTATATAATGATCATTCAACGATTTGAATGCATCATATAATATATATAAGAATGAAGAGCGACGTCAACCAGACGATATTCCAGTGCACTTTTCATGTTTACCGCTTAGTAACGAGTGCGCGATGCGACCCAGGATCGTAAAATGCAATTACACGACGTCACCGAGAAGCTAATCGATGCAAATGAGATTCCAATACTCTCCTCACTCTCGACATATACACACATATATTCAACCCCAGGGCGAAACAACCGCCATTGGAAAAGGAACAACTTTTCAGTTTGTAAATTCACTCAATACAGCGGGAAAAACACCCCTTTAACAAGAAAACCAGTTTTTTGCTTATAATTTACAATAAAATATCTTTTGAAAAAAAATATTTATAATATCATACCAAACAAGTTGAGATATTTCATGTAAATTGATCAAATTTATGTGAAAACATTCAAATGAATTATATTTTCAACGTTTCACTGATCGCAATTATTATTTCCACGAGAGTCATTATAATGAAATAGTGGATCTAGTTTTTTTTATTTACTATATAAAGACTGCTATCGAGATGGATTTTTAGACGAATTTCAAATAATTCAAAATACTTTAAGATAATTCAGAAAATTGTTAGTTGAAGACTTGTTTACCCCTCGATTTAATTTATTAATCAATATTTAAAATAATATTTTTTGCAAATTATAAAAAAATTATATTTTTATTTTATTAAAAATATTAAAATAATAATAATAAAATTATTTTAATGATTGATTATTGTTGAAATAAATATGAAAAATAATATTTTCCTATTCCGGAGATATATATATACGTAAAAGAAAAAGAAAAGAAGGTTATTCACAAAAGTTCTCATAGCAATATCAAAACGAGACTTTCTTGCTGAGTATAAAAGAGAAGCAAAACGGATGTCTATATAGTGGAAGAAGCAAGTACGGCCCATAAACCTCATCATTACAATTCTAATTAAAGCGAATATCGTCAGATCGCATTGCCTGGTCCAAATTAGACGCCTCAGGCTAATGACCGAGATGGTATAGTAGTGATGTAAGGGGAAGAAAAAGAAATGTGTACATTAAGACTAAAGAAAGTGTCGGATTAGATTTGATGATTCTTCTTTATGTGTTGAGATTACATGCTGACAAAATTTTATATAAGATTTTTAATTTGAAAAAATTTAAACTAGTTTTCAAAAAAAAAAAGTTAGTAAAATTATTTATTTTGAAATTTTAAGTAAAATAAATTAGTATTTTTAAAAAGTACTTTTTAAGTTAAAAAAAATTTTCTTTTGAATAAGTAACAGGAAAAAGTCACGTAACTTTATTCAATTATTCATTAATTTTATATAAAAATATACTATGTAAAATGCTGATTTCTGACAAAAAAAAAAAAAACATTATTTCTCAAAGAAACAGTGAACTGAGATAGTGTTGTTAATTGTTATAATTATATGGTTGTAACATTTTCGAAACTAATTATAAACGGGTAATTGCAATTCCATAAAGGGACTAAACTATTATCAGTTTGGTTTCGTATTTTTAAAAGTACATAAATCATATTAATCTTGAATTACTAATAGAAATCTGCAAAGTTTGAAGACTATTATGGAAGTGAATCTTGACTAAAATTGCCACACACTTGTCTGATAAATAATTAATTAAATCTCTTTATATCAAAATATATCTAATATAAATTAAAGTTAATATATTAATTTAAGTTTATTCATTCATTTTTTTTTATAAATACAAGTAGTTTCATTTGCAAACAAAAAAAAATTTTAATTAATTAAATTAATTAAATGGGTATCTACTTACTGATACTTGAATATATGGTTGCTTTGTTTTTTAAAAGAAAAGTGTTTTTAATTGTTTTGATGTGTAGAAATAAGTGTTTTTCTTTATTGTACAATCTTTGAAATTTGCTATTATAAAGTTATCAATTTTACATGAAGTTTCACCATCTTTTATAAAGACTTCCCTTAAATTGATGTCATATCGTCTAGAATGAGGTTAACCGGAAAATGTCAACAACTTTCTTATCACTTTTAAAGGAAAATAATTTTGTTTTAATAACTTTGTACTTTTTTTAATTATTGCAAGAATGAAATAAAAATTATCAATTTTTATGTTTATGTAAAAAATAATTCTAAAAGGTCACTTTTTATAAAGATGGAAAAATTGATGATTTAAAAAAAAAAAGATTTAAAAAAAGGAAATTAATTATTTATTTTAAGAACAGATTAGCATTTTTGATATAAAAATGAAGCAACCCTCAATTTTTTAAAATTACTTCCAATTAAAAGTTCTTTTCTTAAAAGAGACGAGGAATAACTGACATTAGCCCTAACTTGGAGTAATATTAACGAGAATCGTCGATTTTTTTATATCGTATAGAGCTTGAGAAACAGACGTAAAGCTTGAAGATTATCCCGCAACAGTAGTCAAGTGACTTGAGGGTTGTCTTTTTCTCTCATTCTCTCGCTCCCTATACGTTCATCGTAGTCTCATTTTATTCGATAATTATGTAAATGTGAGAATGATTGTCGGGCAATGTGTCCTTCGAATGAAAGTGGAGAGTAGCTATTCGGTTATCTTTATGATTCTGGGGCGCGTGAAAAAAGAAAGAGGACTTTGACTTTTGGGGTTGCTTCCTCGTGGCTAGAGAGATGGGGGAAAGAGAGAAAGAGAGAGAGAGAGTCAAGCCCTTCATTTGCATAGAAACGTTCATTTTTTTCTTAAAACACAAATATGCTGACAGCGCTCCCCGTCGCGTTTTACATTTTTACATCGATTCGCGAGGGAAGGAGATGACGAAAAATGGTACTAATATTCCTTTTCTTATATAAACGTTAAAGAAAAATGATCAAATTTGTATAAGATCAAAAAAAATTTCCTATCGATAATATTTAATTATTTTTTAACAAAAATTTATATGGAAAAATTTTATTGTAATTATTACAAAAAAAGACAACTTCAGTTTCTTCATTTTTTTGAGATAATGCAACAAAAACAGATTAAATTTTACCGAAATTGGTGTTTTAAAAAAAAAATAAAAATGTTTCCAATAATTGGCTTCAATCATTGTGAGAATTATTATTATAATTATTATTATTTATTAAAATATTCATATATATATATATAAAGGGTGGAGCTTTAGACGGCCAATAAGAAGGCGTCGCGTGCCTAACGTCGTTACGACACTACAAATTGATAAGAATTCATCGCCGTTGCACACAAGAAGCACGCACGTGCAATTCACCGTCCATTCGCGATGGCTCGGTTTCACGAGCTTCAAGATATCGCGCACAAGGCACGAAACTTTGTCCCATAGTTTTGCGTCTCTGATCCTTTATCTTTTGTTCTGTTAAGAAAATAAAATGCTGAACATTTTTTTTTAAGATTTTCAAATTCATCTAAAAAAAGATATAACAAAAATTTGTATCTCTAATTTAAAATGTAGCCTTTTTATAGAATTTTGTTTCTAAATTTCAAAATGAAATAATAAAAATAATAATAATATAAAAATTGTATATGAAAAATATTCAGGGAAGGGAATTTGGTAATAATACACAAGAGATTTACAATAACAACTATTTAATTATAGGTAGTAATGCTGAATTACATGAGTACACTTTGTGTCTCGATACTATCTCGTACAAGTTATCCAATCACAAAAATCACGATTTTTTTTTCATGAACCAAAGAAAGTGACTATTTCATTTTTTTTTTTCATGGACTTTTTAAGTGATTTTACATATCACTATTATTTGTTTTTTAAAAATCTTCTTTCTTCGATCCATCTCCGCCAATAACGTAAAAAATTGCGATTCGAATCTTATTTTTCTTTTTTGAGTCCCTAAAAAAAAAAAAATTGCGCGGTATCGTGAAAAAGAAACGAAAATCGATTAAACAATTTACGTTTCCTTTCCCTCTTTCTTATATTTTTTTTTTTTGGCGATTGATCTTGCCATATGCGTGGAAAATAGTACGATATACTCCGTAGTTTTGTGGTTTATAGGCGTGTTGCTGTATTTTTTTTTATGTGTGTATATGTGTGTTTTACATGTGTGATGATGGCAAATACGGATCAGCTATCGGTGGTTAAATTCTTGACTCTACGGTTAACTTCTTGTAATAGACTTAGCCAGTACCTAGACACTATGATTATGTGAACTTTACAACACAAAAAACTTACGGGTAAAAGACTTTGTACACGGATCTTACATATGCAAGCGCCTCCGACTAAATAATATTTTTCGTGGAAAATCTCGCATTCATTTTTTTCTTTTTTTTTTTTTATTTTTTCTATAACCAAAACTTTTGCATTAGTTTTGATTTATTTTTTTTTCGAGACACGAAAATATTTCACCACGAGGCAATCGTACATAATATATATATATTTATATATATAACGCGAGACACACGCACATGTAATTAGACTTAGTCACTTGGTAAATAACTAAGTTTTGTTATATATATATATATATATATTTATATATATAAATAAAGTGTTAGGTTTCGAGAAGCTAAAAGTCTTCTGTCGTTTCTATAATACAATTTTTCGAGAATCGCGATTTTCGAACGACGTTCACGTTATCTTACGAGGAGACCATTTACTTTGGATGCTACTATACAAAAAGCTTTATTTATTTTTTTTTTTTTCAGGAAGATCGAATCGTCTCCTCGCATCGATATAATATCTCCAAAACGAACGCTACAGGATGTTTGCGAAAAAATTGTGAGTAAAAAAACTGTTTATATTAAAAATGGTAATAAAGTAACTCTAGTAATTTTATTGACAATTTGTCACTAGAGTGAAAAGACAGTAATGACAAGTATTTTAATATATAAAAAGACATTAATATTTAATAATTAATATTAATATTTATTATGTATTAATAATTAATGGTAATAAAAATAAGCGCTGTTAATTTTTCCGAAAATTATTAAATATTTTTTTGGTCCAAATAAATCGATTATTTGAATCAAATAAATTTTTTTTCAATGTAAGTATATTAAACAACTTATGATTCTAACGCATGTGAAATAAGTTTCGAATTGTCAAATATTTTTTTTATAAATTATCCATTATTTTGAAACTAAGATAATAGATTAATTTTTCATCTCTTGAAAAATGTATTTAAAGTCTCTAATCAGTCTATTTTTGTTTCTTAACCTAGTCAAGTTTTTGCTAAAATTTTATTATTGTTTTTCAAGTAGCAACTAAAAATTGTTTATTCCCTGTAACGTTCGTTAGCAATAAAAAGAGATGAAGACACATAACGGATCGTCGTTCTCTTAAAATTAATAATTAACTAGTTATCGCTCAATATGGGATAGGTATGTCTCTCTAGGAACACATGCACGCATCGCACGCACTCTCAAACAGTCTTTATAAATATCTCTTTTTTATTATCGCTTCGCCTCTTTTCCTTTATTTTATATCTATCTCGCTTTCTTTTTTTTTCTCTATTTTTAACGCGTATGTATAGATTTATTTATAATATATAGTACGATTACGAAAGTCGATATTTTGTGGGAAAAGAGGCAAAGAAAATATGACAAGTCCCTTTTCTTTTGTCATTTACTTTACCTATGGCCACGTGATCAAACGCTTTCCAAGCGTTGAGTTTTAGTTTTTTTTTTTTTTTTGCATCTAAAGCTAACAACCAAGTATGAAAAAAGGAATCGCGATGAATTTTTATTTATGTGCGCCGTTGATATGTTTTTTTTTTTTTATTAAATGCGACTTATAAATTCACTGCACTTTAATGATTCTACATTTTTTGAAGTGTGTAATAGAAGTGTTTCATTATGATGCCAATTTTCACTTTTTTTTAAAATGATTTCTTGACGCACGAGTTGAGATTTCTATGTTCTGTCTCTCTCTTGAGTCACGACCTGCAACTTTTCAAGCGCAGGCCTTTTAATGCACGATTTCATTGCTTCTTTATTTTTACTCTCATGAATGCAACACGAAAGACACCTCTCTCTATCTCTCTTTCTCTCTCATGTTTTATACGACGAGAGTAATCGCTTCACCACTGGAAGTCTATAATTTGTTCCTTTTTTCGTTTTGTTTTTACAGTTCTTATTTCCTTAGTTGCACGAACTATTTATATCACTGATAGAAACAAATCTTCATTTTATTTTTTTGCTCAGTCATCTTGAGTGAGAATAAGGAATTTCTCTGGCTTTATTTTCATCCCTCCCCCAAAAAAAAGCAGGGATCCTTTGGTCGAGTCACTCGGCATCGATGTCGAATTTCCGGTAATTCGCGATTCTTTATCGCTCGTCCTCCATTTTTTTCTAGGTTGCACTTGTAAAGAGAACTGAATTTTTGTAGTAACCCGCACGGGAATCTGTAACAGAGACGAAATTGTTGTTTTTTTTTTTGATTTAATGATAAATAATGAAAAAAATGTAAGTAAAAGAAGTGGGGATCATGATCAAAGGTGGGGGTCGTTCGTTTATTCAGAAAAGACGCCGCTCACTAATTACCGCTGGCTAGGTTAGCGGCACGAGTGAGAGAAAGACATAAGGGAAAAAAGAAGAAGAAAAAAAAAAAACGATAAGAGAGTCACGAGAGTGCGAAGAAAGAAGAGGGTGGCTATCATCAAAAAAGCAAAGTAGAAAGAGACCTCGTAAATCGGGGGCCAGTCGAGTCATTCCGTTTCGCTCTCTTTCTCTCTTTCTCTCTCTCTCTCTACGGTCTTTGAGTGCTTCGCCGCCTTTCGACTTTTTATCGAACTGTCGCTTATGATTGAAAAAGATTACACCAATAATCCCTTCATTCACTATCCCTCATTTCCTCCCCCCTCCCTCTGCAACTCATGTTGCAAACTCTAAAATCCGGTTTCTCTGCTCAATTTCTTCTAAAGGATCCATTCAATTTATATTGATAATATCTCCCCGGTGATTTAGCACAAATTGAAATTTTATTAGTTTATTTTATTTAATTTGCCACAATGTATAAATGTAACGAAAAAGAAATTGAAAAATTAAATTATAAACTGCAAAAAAAAGTGCTGATTTTAATAAATTGAAAATTTCCCAAAAAAAAATAATAGGATTTCAGTGATTTTCGCGCCTCCATAAAGTAAAATAAAGAGGATACCTTTTTTGCAGTGGCAAAATGCGGCGTCAAGCGAAAAAAAACTAATTGAAGAAAGAAAGATTATTTAATAAAAAAAAAAAAAAAAAAAAAAAAAGTTGAGAAGAAATTAATTCGCGAGGGAAACAATTATTTACATGCAGCGCGTCTTGACGGCAACCGTTTAAGTCGCGCGCGTCCTCAATAGCTTTTTGCCAAGAAAAGTTTGACCGCCTCTTCTTCTCGTTTGCAAGTTTCTAGAGCGGACCAAGTTTCGAAATCTGCCGATAGTAGCTAGTGCCGCTGACGCCGCTACAAGAAACCCACCAGGCGCAACCAGACCCTCAATTCTCTCCCTCTGCTGAGTTTCTAATTAAAGATCGAAGTTTATTCGCGATCGTAAGAAACTGGCAACACATATACATATACACACGAAAATGACTGCAGACGCCAAGTTTCTACTTGGATGGCATTTTCGAGACTTTCTCCCAAACCACCCATTATTTTTTTTCGAGAAAACTTTCACACACACACACACATTCAATTATTTTTATAGACGTTGAAATCGTTTAATCATTAATGACAATAGATACTAGACAAAGTTTCGATCGACGCACCTTGAAGAGGAGACTTGACCTGGTCCCTTTCGGAGGTCTGATGCTGACGTGTCTTTCTCTCCAATTCGAAGTCTGGTGGCATCGATTCTGGGACAAAAAAAAGACAAAACTTTTAAGGAATATTGTTTGTGAAATTATCATTATCAAGGTTATTGGATAAAATATACTTAAATTCCTCTATAAAGATTTCTAGAGAGGTTAAGAATTTTATTTTGGTCAATATTGGTTTATTATAAATATTGTGCGGAATGGACTTTTTAAAGTAAACAGAAATAACAAAATTATTAAGACTCTTTATTCCTTTAAATTTCCAAACCCCTTTTTCGTGGAATATTACCTCATGATTAACAAAATATCCAATCTTCCTGCTTACTCCAAGCTCAATGGTTAATTCATTTAAGGACCCCTTTTCGCTTAGTGAGCTTGTTCGCGACTACGTGGATTATAACCGTCCTAGTCACATTAATGTACTGATGGCTGAGAGATGAAATCATTTAAACTCTTTAATACTAAGAAAGTTTCAACCCTCGATGGCGAATTTCAACAATTCAAGTATTACGTAATAACAGAAGGACTAGGATTACGAAACTTGCAAAAAAATTTAATTTAAAGGTTTTGTCTGACTAAAACTGATTTTTACTACTGATACTAAAAGAATAATTATGAACCCGTCTGACTGCAACTGATTTTTACTACTGAAATTTACAAAAATTGAAACTAGAACAGTTACTACTAAGATCAAAATATCAATTATCGGTCTGACTGAAACTGACTTTTACTACTAAAGAGACTACAAGAATTTTTTTGTAAAAAGTTTATCATTTGACCAAAACTGACGTTTACTACTTATACCAAATTTTTGTAATTAAATTAAATTTTTTAAAAACTGAAAAGTCTGACTTAAAAATACCTTCACTACTGATACTAAAATATACAAGAATTCGAGGTTTTGACTATGGCTAAAACTGATTTTTTTATACTATTTACTACCAAATGAACAAGATTTGTTAAGAAAGTCCTGTCTGACTAAAACCGATATTTTCTACTGATACTAAAAGAATAATAATGAAACCGTCTGACTGCTACTGATTTTTACTACTGAAATTCAAATTAAAAAAATTGAAATATGACTATAGAACTGAATATTACTACTAATATTAAAATTATCATCTGTCTGACTGTTACTGACTTTCACTACTAAACTAAAAATAACAAGAATATTGTGAAAAGTTTGGTCAGACCTGAAACTGATTTTACTACTGATAACAAATTTGTTCAATTGTGTGACATAAAATTTAAAAAAAGGAAAGTCTGACATAAAAACACTTGTACTACTGATACTGAAATGAACAAGAATTTTGAGGTTTTGCAATTACAAGAATTGTGTAAAATGTAATTTTTTAAAAAAAATTTCAATTATCCGTCTGACTGAATCTGACTTTTACTACTTAATCTTGAATAAAAAAGGTAAAAATAGTCAAAGTCAAAAAATAATAATTCTGCCTGAATTCCACAGGTATAAAATAAACCTAAAATGTACCGTTAACGCCGAAATTGTCACTCTTTTTTTTATTTTAATATATTCAAAAACTCATTGAGCATGTGAATTTCTAAAAATAGATCAAGATTTTGGTCTTTATATAATAATATTGAAATGGTAAAATCTGCCGAGAAGTAGGGAGCAAGATGAAGGTGATTAGCGAGGAACGATGAAAGAAGAAGGAAGGGAAGGGTGAAGAGAGAGAGAGAGAGAGAGAGAGAGATCGGATCGAGAAGCGTGAAATGGTGCCTCCTTAGGCAAAGACCAATGGTAAAATCCAATTGCGAGGCCATTAAGCCTTGGTTAACTGGCAGAGCTTGGAGAGAAACGGCTGTAGCGTAACTAGACGGGACCGAGATTCCATTATGCTTTGAGCAACAATAGCTGAGGGCTGTTTCGTGGGTACGTGGGTGTGAATCGTGAGTTCGTCAGCTAAGCTCGTACGCTTGTCGCAATGTTTGCGTTTCACTGAGCCAAATTACCTTTCGCGCCCTTATCCACGCGCCGGGTGTTTCGTCCCTTTGATATCCAAATGACAATTTAACTGCTTCAAGATATGTTATTTTGCTTTGTCTCATCTGAAAAGAGAAAATAATCACATCCGCACAATGAAACGTTTAGAGATACTGAGATTATTTTCTCCTTTCATGAATCGATTCTGACTTGAATCGAAAAAAAAAAACAATTATATCAAGTAAATAAAAAAGAATTTTTCGATTTTTGAAAGTGAAATCACGTTTCTTGAAAATGATGCATTCCAAATTAGTGGTAAAAAAAAAAGTTTTGTTTCGCTTCTTTGTGAATTGAAGTGCAAGTTTATATATGTAGGAACGCACGCTCGTCAAAGAGGATCAAGACTAATAGTTTCGCTACCGTCTTACACACCTTGACAAATCGAGCAGACAATGAAAACAATTTCGGAACGCTTCGAACAAGACTTTGAGAACTAAACGGTTCGTATTGTGGGTAGATGATGCTGAATTCAGCTTCATTTTTTTGTCTGTCGACAGAATACCTTCGACTCAGAAAAGAGCAATGACTCTGCATTTATCAGATAATTAACTTGGCTACAATGCATCGCGAAAAGGGTATAACGTGCTTCTTGTTGTTCTAAAAAAAAAAGAATAAGAAAAAAACCAGCAAAAAGCATTTTGAATTTTACTGTAATTCAACGATTTTTATCCAAAAATCATAGATAGAAAGGAATAATAAGATAAGGTAAATAAGATTGAAGGATATAATTTTTTCTGCTCTCAAAAGAAAAAAGCAATTTAAAATAAATCATATCGAAGATTGGGAGTAATTGCTCCCAAGAAGGGATCAAGTTTTTTTTTAAAGTGCGGAGATATTTGCAAAACGTGTACACCTGAGGGTTGATTTCGTCTAACGTGCGTTTTTAATGCTCTGATCTTTATGTAAAACAGTGAAGTGGCAACGGGGCGCGAGCGCGCTCGTGCATCAACCCAACCGTGAAATTGTATGAATCGAGAATAAAAAGAAGAAGAAAAAAAAAGTACAGAGACACAAAAAGCAAAAAGAACACCGCGTGCCCTCTCGCTTTCAAATCCCTATCTTAATATAATTTCAAATTTCCGTAGGCGACGATCCTCCTTCTTTCTATAAACGTTATATATTTTTCTCTCACTCAGAACATTCTTTTTTTTTTTTATCCCCCCCGTCTATTGTAAAAATCGTGCCTCCGGGAGGTGGGAATAGCTTTTTATCTCTCGAGACCCGATTTCTTTTTTCGTTCACAATGTAAATGGTTATGGACAATGTTGGATGAAAACTCTATCGAAGATAACTTTTGAGAAACAAAAAAGAATTTATTCGAAATGAAAATATAGAAAAAAATCATATATAGAAGAGAAAAATCTGTATTTGTGTTAATAATTCTTAAATTTTGTTACTCTTTTATGAATTTTTTTTTTAATCATATTTTTTAGGGACAGAAAATTTGTTGACGAAATCACACCTTGTAATGATTACACGATCCCTTCTTGAAAAGAGGGGCTATATACCTTCATCCCCCTTATGCCATCATTGGGTATAAATAGAACTTCTAGCCAAGGTAGCTCGTTCACCGGAAAACCTCGTCGTGTCTCGCAGATATATTCCCGACGGTCGTATGCACGATGCAGGGGATGTATTCCACCCCCCCTCATCCCTTACCCCCCGTCCGGGTTGCCGCTTCCTCAGTATGAGTTTATATTGCCAGTACTCACGCGTTACACTTTATCACTCTTGCTAAGTTATTCTCTTACGCGTAATAATCATTCCTTACATAACGCACAAAATCGTTACTTATATCGCACGTTTCGTTGAATTAACCAAATAGTTTGAATAATTCAACAAAACTGCGCAATTTTATTTTTTATGAACAATATACTTTGGTTTTTTTTTTATCCTTAAAAGTTAATGCCACTGTAAAAAGTAGGCGTAAATTTAGAGAGTATTTTTGCAGTGAAGTTCCGAATTTTTTTTTATTAGTTTCTTTTTTTGAGAAAAATTAATTGAAAAGTTGTGTAAAATGATAATAACAATTACTCTAATATTAAAATTCAAATTTAAACACTAAGTTTTCTATTTTTTTTGGTGATGAGAAAGATTTTTGAATTTAATTATTGATTTTCATAAATTGAGTATACATGAAATTATCTATTGTTGACTGTTCATTGCACTCTGATCGTTCATGAAATTTTCTATTTTAGAGAATCAATATAATGGAGTGAATTTATTAACACTAGATGGATAGAACACTCTCTACAATATATATAATCTCTGAAATCTGATTAATATTAAAGGACAATTCTCATTTAAGTTTTATCCAATTAAAAATACCGAAATTAATTAATAACGAGTAATATAATAAATATTATAATTAAAGAATAATTTACATTGTTATAAGTTTTAGAATAAAAAATATGTGACGCACCACAAGAAAAGGCCGTGACCATAGAGGCAACAAATTTTAGGTTATGTTAAGCGATACTCGCGCTCTTGCGGAAAAACTGTTACAACTTAGGTGAGAGATGAATTATTACAAAAGGCGGACTATTAAATTCAAATTGAAAATACATAAAGATTAATTCTTAATACAAACCACTGTTTAAATTTTCATTACATCCAAAATATTCAATACTGATTTGAATTTTTCAATTTTTTATTAATTAAAGACAAATGTAAAACTATAACTAAACATAATCTAAAATTGTTTGCCTAAGGTATTCTCCATCACATATATGTCAAAATAAAATTATTGACACTATTTATTCGTAAGAAAAGTTTTTGCAAAAATTTTTAATTTCAATGTACTTTAAGAAACTCCGCCCATCAAATATGAAGCCCGCCTGGCGATTTAGAATGATTGCGGTCGCGAGGTGGCTGCCACGTCGAATATAAAGTATATAAAGGTATGTGCAAGTGAAGACGATCTTTTCTCTTTCTTTGTCTCAGGGTTTGGATCATTTATCCCTCTCTCTCTCTCTCTCTCTTTCTCTCTCGTCGGCACGAAAGGCGCAACTACCTCTCGTGCAGGAAGAAGAAGAGAGAAGAAGGTAGGGGCCGCGAGGGACGAGGTTATGGTCGCTGCGAAATTATTGCATATAGTCTGAATATTAAAGCGTGGTGAAGTGCTTCGTCGTACTCACTCAGGGTGGATGGTTGGACGTAGAGGAATCATATAAGAGGAAGGAGAAGGGGGTTGTTGAGGAAAGACAGGTAACGCCACCGAGAACTACGGTGGCCGCCGGGGAAATTACGATTTCTTCCTTGTACTCGCCCAAGAGAGAAAGAGAGATGGATATAGATATATATACATAAGCTTTGCATTACCTACAGTGCTCTTCGAATTTTTATCAAGTCTGAAATATAGAGCATGCGACCTGTCGGGTAGATTGGATAAACTGCAAGATATCTTACTCTCTCGAACCACTTCACTTCAGGCACATGAATATATTCCCCCCCCCCCCTATAAACTATTCTTTTTGATATCGAACTGAAAAAATTTTACCTAACTTTTTAGAAATCTACACTGAGAAAAAAGGTTTGAGCTGACAACCAAATATTTCATTTAATATATGTGCAACTATCATTTTTTGGTTGACACAACTAAACTTTAGTTGACATCAACCAAAGTTGATGACCACCAAATTCTTTTTCATTTTCTTATTTAGTCGTCTAAAACAAACTCTGGTTGTTGTCAACTAAAGTTTAGTTGTGTCAACCAAAAAATTTTAGTTGCACATATATTGAATGAAATATTTGGTTGTCAGCTCAAACCTTTTTTCTCAGTGTAAAAAAAACATTTGTGCAACAAAAATTAGTGGGAAATATATTTTTCACTTTCAAAATGAAATCTTTTTTTTCAAAAACTATTTGAATCTTGTAAAATTCGAGCAAGAAAATCACTTCTCGTATAGAATGCATGGCTGGAAGACGCGTTGGCTCAGAGGTCCCTCCCCTCTAGCAGGGACGTATAAGTACCTACCTTGGACGAAGTTAGCCCCCCGCAATTCCCCCCTAACCCCTGACTAAATCTTGGTTGTTTATTGCAAATGGATTCCGCATCACGATGCCGGTGTGCTGGCTCTTGGGACCCTTCTCTCCTACCTCGTCAAACAGACATTCCCTCTCTCTCTCTATCTCTCTCCTTTCCCTGTTCGCAAGGATCGTTATTACCGCTCGTCGCGATTGCTCCCGTAGAAAGATTCGGGTATGCAGTTTCAACATACATATATATATACATTAGAGAATGTACTCGTGCTTCATAACGAGAATGTTAGAGGGGCTATTACGAACTTGGTTGATTTTTCGATAAAACTGGGATCGAGCCAACTCGATTGGAAGATCTGAAAAATTGAGTGGGTTCTAATACGCGAATCCGATTATCTCCTAGGATTGTATATACGAAACCTCTGCATCGGAGAGAGAAAGAGTCTCATACAAAATTAAAAAAAAAAAGGACGATGGAAAAAAAAGAGATAAATATACTGACCTTGATAATTTTGCCAGAATTGGTTGCTAATGAGATCCAGTCCACTGTATCCCCAGCCTGGTTTCTCCGGTGTTGGCGGTTGTTGAGGTGGACGAGAAACTTGAGCCTCTCGATATTGTTGATTTTGTTGTTGTTTCTGTTGTTGCTGCTGCTGTTGTTGTTGTTGCTGTGATTGTTGTTTAACGGGCGTTTGTGAACTTGGCTGTTGATTATTCGACTGTTGCGATTGTGAATGTATCGAATTCTCCTCCGATTGTTCTACACTCGTTCGTGTTTCTGTTTTAACGTTTTCTGAAAAACAAATAATTGGGATTTTTTTTATATTTAATTCGTTTTGATTTGAAATTAATATCGTTTCTCTCTCTTTCTCTCTTACACTGAGACTGACAGGGTTAATCAGCAGCAACTGGGAAAATGGCAAGGAGGCATGAAACGTTATATCAGAATAAGAGATTTCACTTAAAGGGTTTCATGTTTGAGTTTTGGTAGTGACAGGCAGGGATGGAGTGGGGTGTTTCTGTCGGATATACTTCGAGTTGAAACGAAGAACCGAACGCAGTTTGGAATTTAAGGCATTTAAACAAGACGTTATGTATAATACCAAACAACTAAATATATAGAAGACTAAGATTTCATTGAGGAGCAAAAGGGTCGATAAGTAAGGAATCGTATTCTGTTCGGTGTCGAGACTGTTTGCATTGGAATGATGAATTAATTATAATGTATTTCAAGATTGAGATATAGAAACTAAAAAGTTATAAAAGGGAGTTTTTTTTAACTCACCGGTAATGGACCTGACTTGTTCTGTTGTGGCACCGGTGGCCTTGAGTGCATCTTCTAATTGTGTGCGCCTCTTTACCTCAAGGTCCAATTGATCTTGAAGTCGTCTTCTTGCTCTCCGTTCCTTCTTTAGCCGCTTTTGGTACGCCACTGAAAAACAGAAAAGACATATGATTTTAATAAAAAAAGTTTTTAAAATGTTATTTCTTAGGTAAAAATTTGTTTTCAATTAAGATGGACGTGTGGCACGTGCCGCAGAATTAGTATCAGAGGACTGTCATGGTCCCCAGGTGGCGGAACCCTGGCGAGACCAAGGTCCAGTGGAATTATCTTTAGTCTGCGTATCATTTTACCACAGGGGGTTTCGCACCAATCACCACAGGTATAGTTTAAAGAATCCGTTAAATCATTATAGAATACAATTTTTGATTGTTTAGAAAATTCTTTAATTTTGATTTTTAAAGCTTATTATTCTTGTTGGATAAGGTTGTGGTGAAGGATATAATTATGAAGTAATTTTCTAGTCATTGAGCTAGATCAAGTTCCTCTGATTTATTCTGATGTGTTTCTGAATGCTATTAGACATATTGGAAATGACTCTATTGTGAACGATTGAGCTTCTGCATCGAAGCGCCAGCAAGGTCTGCGTAGCGATGCAATCCAGTATATAACAATACGTCGATATGGAGCGGGGGCGTGTGCATTGTCCGCCGTTTCACTTTAGTGTCTCGCATCCCTCCTGCCTATTCTGCCTGTCTCTATAACCATCTCTTTGCCTCCTTCCCAGTCTCTCAATCACTTGAACCGTTCACTGAATTCAGCCGAGTTGATCGTTGCACACTATATGCATATACACTCTCTATGTGTGACATATGTGCATACAGATACCTCTTTTCTTATGCATACCACGATCGGTTTGATTGGCTAACGTCTCCTCCCCCCACCACAGTCGGCCCTTTTGATCCACTCTTCTTTTGCTCAGTTTAATTATTTTCCATCATTGTACAAACTGACGCGTCCGGCCATTGTGCCTCTCTCAATGAATTCCAGTTTTTTTATAAATACGTTTGATTCCGAGTGCATTTTTTTTTTTCTTTTACCTTTTCGTTTGCTCTCTTTTACTCTCAAAGTATAAGGAGTCCCGTCAGCGCGGCACTACACAGTAAAGGTAAAAGGGGAGGGTAGGGATATACGACGAATGGCGGGAGGGGTGGCACGAAGGGGGGCCGCGAACGCAACATTATGATGCAAAGATGGCGCGGTGGCGGCACCCTAGAATTAGCCCGAGCACTCGCCATTGGCCGCTCGGCAAAACCACTCCTTCGGTAACAACCGACTGCATACGTTGCATACTAAAGGATACACGCGAACTGACAAAGAATTGCCCATCGACAAAAACTCGATCGACGAACTTCCACCTTCGCTCTCTCAAATATAATTTAACAAACACTTGATATGGCGATCCTCCCACTTCTCAAATTCATATATATTCCAAATTTTCAATAATTTATTTAAATATATGACTAAGTTGAGCAGAGTTGTCAATTACTATCATTTCTACGATCAATAAAATTCTTTTCACTGATTCCTATAATATTAAGAAACTGATCAGAATTTTCTAGTGATTAAAATTTAGAGTGTACAAAAGATTTTGTAACACTATAACCAGAAGCAAATTGTCAATTATCATTAGGAACAAAATGGGTCAAGATATTATATATATGTGAAAGGGGAAAGAAATAACAGAAGAAGAAAAGAATTCGCGGTCAGTTATGAAATAAGAGCCAGGACAAAAAAAAATGTAGAAGGGGCTGATCGCCAGAGATAGGCTAAGCAAATGATCGTGCATCTCGTTCAAGAGAGGAGGGGGTGGGGGGGGGAGAGTTGGTCCATTAGATAATGCAGTCAACGGAGAGAGAGCGGCCTCGCATCGGTCACGTCAAAATACATCAGCTACCGCTGTGCACTCACTCAGAAACCTTCTGACCGCTTTCAACGTAGACTCCCCACGTTGGTTCATTCTCCCGTTCTTACAACTTGATAAATTTCACAAATCAATGATATATATATGGTTACGACATTCGAAATGTACAAAAGGAAATAAAAAAAATACTTGTTAAGTTCTTCACTGTAAAAAGAAAGTACTAAATTAGTACCAATTTTAGGTATCAAACTAAAACCAAATGACAATTTAGTGCCTAAATTTGGTATTAAATTAATACCTTTTGTTTTATAGTGTTCATTTGAAAATATAATTAAAAGAGTCAATATCGAGTTTAAAACATTAAGATAAACATTAAGTATCGTTTATGTGTTTGTGTCGTATTTGATTATGATATTACGGAAATTGGAGTTTAGTTTGAAAACAAACACTCTCAGTGCTACAGTTAAAATTAATAAGCAAATCGAATCAAGTAAACCCGCGAAAACTAATATAGCGACCATCTTAGACCGCCAGCGGTATATTGTATTTAATACAAGAGGGCGGTAGACTCGGTACTAGCAATATGATTTACATTTTGAAGTTATATTGACCATTCCAGCCACCTGCAGCAACTCGCTTCTCCACATCTCGCCTCGGGCTCTACTAAGAATGACCGGTTTTCTTAGGGAAAATTAATAACATCAGAGGGTAAGAGAGAGAGAGAGGCGTTGTCGTCGTTCGAGTTCGATAAATGAACGACAGCCGTGTCCAAGAGTCGATTTTTAAAATTGAAACTTCTAAATTCATTTAGAATTTTTATGACAAATTCATTTTTCTTTTCTTCTTTTTTAAAATTTATTTTTGTTTATTTTGAATTAGTTTTAGAAAATATGGAGGGAGAAATTAATGGGTAAACAAACGTTAAATGGAAATAAGTATATAAAGAGGCTGGGGAAGAAAATGTGTTAGAATTATAATTCATAGTTGCGAGCAAACTATCCAGGAGACGACCCTCTAATCTCTATCGCTAGCCAGCTAGCCGTGTTATCTAGTTTTAAAGGGGTTCTTAGGCACCCACTAGAGAACCCGACGCTGCGTAGCTCCGACGGACAGCATCTGTGCTCTACGGCTCTCAATATCCATACAAAGCTGTCTGCTGAATAATATTACACTTAAGCCGTACCACTCGGATGATTATAGTTGGAGCAACGTCGATAGTAGTTAGAGCGTATATCCTGTGCGAATGCTAATTCTGACGGCGCACTCTGTACGAAAAGAACTTTTGATTCAACTTCTTATATATGCAATAAGATCGTCACTCCCTCTTTTATTTCGACAACAAAATAAATTCGTCTCTTTTTTAGTTGCGATGAATTTTTAATTTTTTCAATGACAATCTAAATTATCAGAAATAATTATTTATATTTTAGGGAATCAAAAAAAAGTCTATTTTTATCACTTCAGTATACGAATCCATATTTTCAATTCCCGCAATTCATTTTTTTTTACCCTCTTAGACTTTGACCCCACTTGTCCAATGTCCATATGGAAATCGAAATCTAGTTTGCCACACTCAGTGGAAACATTCGCCAAAGGCCAGACAATCTTTTTTTGTGTCACTTTCATTTTTTTTTCATCTCACACTTTTTTTTCCACATATATAAACATTGAAAGCACATTATTTCTTCATCCCATCTTTTTTTTAAATTTGTGTAAAAACATCTGAGATAGATTTTTTTTATCGATTGTCCTTGAATTTTTTTTTATGGAAATAAATTTTGCCGTCTGAAAATTTTTTTTTTCCATATTCTTGATTTTTTCTTAGCGAAAGAGAAAATGGAAACAAAAAAAATTAAGATTAATATGGAAGAATTAAGAAACGACAGTGGGGGAAAAAAATAATAATTATGATTGAAAGGAATTTAAATTGGAATTATTGAGAAACTGTGTTGCAGATTCTGTGTGGTCCTGCGAAGTAAAGGGATGGAATTGACTTCGTAACAGATTTGCGACGGTTGAATTACGCGTTAGTAAAGCAATACGAAAATATTTACTCCCCGAGTGACCGTGTGGGTCATTCGAGACCCCTGATCTGGTTACCCCGTTTCTCTCGGTTTAAGAAGAAACGTAATAGCCACGTCTGTAATCAGGATACAGTAGCAACGAGTATGGGATTTAGAGGATTGTATACAATTAATTTAATACCTCTTACATTTTTTTCTTTGCTATATATATTTAAGGAAAAAACTACATTTTCCTCTTCAATTTTTCGTTTTCATTTCGTATTGAGAGGTTTTTGCAAAAAAGAATTTTTTTAATATGATAGAAAAAATTCGAAAGAAACTTTTTTAAAAAATAAAAAAAAGTTGTTGTAAAAATTATGCTATTCGTATAAATTTAATCAAAGACATGAATTTTGAATTTAAAATTATATATATGTATATTGAATAATATCTACATAGCTTTCACTTTTCTATAATTATGTTTACTATTTATATATCTTTAAAAACAGAAGGCATAAATCATTTTCTACAACTTAGACAAGAAAATGCAACAACAAAAAATGAAGGTATTAAATTTCCACGGAATTTATTACTTCCTTTCACGACTTATATATATTGTATTAAGAATTTTCCTTCTGTTGAACAATTTCACAAAGAGAAAATTCTTATTTTACCTCTTATAAATTGAATATAATTTTTTAACAAAAAATAAATGTGAAAATTATTTTTTCGAAAAAAGTAATTTTTAAAATAGATTTTCTTGGAACAGTAGCTTTTTAGTTATTTAGAATTAAATTAATTTTAATACTTTTGTGATAAATTATTGTTGAATTAAATTATTATTTTTTGAAGTATTGAAGTATTTTTAAATTAAAAGAAAATTTGCTACTAGAAGTATTTAAAAAAAAATCATTTCCTGAGTTTATATTGTATACATATAATATTTATATGTTACACCTTAAATTTCCATATGCAAAATATAGTTTTATTAGTCACAGGTAATTAACCATACTGAAAAATTAGATTAAAAAGTTGAATTATATTTTCACATAAATTCTCATAGACGTTATTAACTTTTATTTCACTCGTAATTACATTTGCCTAAGCTAATTAGTTACTAAATAAAAATTAAATACTATACCATCTAGACATTCCTTTATATATTCATTAATTTAACATAAATAAAATAAAATTTTTAACTTTTAATTGTTAACTAAATTCTA